AATATATATATATATATATATATTTGCATCATATATGTTCAATCAATTATTGAAGAATGTTCATATAACTATTAATACATACTCCCTTTATTTAAATTTCAATATATATACATATATATATATATATATATATATATAATTACTGCTTTGTTATTCTACTCTTGTTAAGAAATAGAAAGAAATATAAAACGAAGGAAGAATAACTAAGCTACATATTAGAAAGGAGGGTAGTAAAAAAAATCTTATATTAAAAATATTTTAAATAAATTTTAAACAAATTTTATTGTAAATTTTAATAAAGATAATAATTATTAATTTTTATATTAAAACCCTTAATACATTGACTAGTTAGACCTTATTAAAAAAATTACAAATAATTGAAAAGAAAAAAGAATATTAATTTTGTTTCCTAATGTATATACTAAAATCTTAATCAACAGATTTAAATAGAAATCTAAAATTGATAAAGTACTTTTACCAAATCCACACAATAAAAATATGATGAGAAATAATGTTCTTAAAATTAGAAAAGAAACTATAGAAAAAACAAAATGGAATTTCGTAAATAAGACTAGAGGGAGTGTATGCATCTTGGAAGTGCCATATCTTTCCCTTTACATATGCATGTCTATATATGAGCAATAAAGCAATAATTGGTGTAAAGAGAGGAGGTTCTGTCCAGTTCATGCAAGTGCATGCATATATGGATAATACATATGAGATTGATGTAACATATGCCCTAACGAATTATACAGAACGCTCATGCAGCTGTTGTTTTGTTCACTGTACGTTTGGTTTTAGGGGTGAGTTGCTTGTTTTGCTTCATAGAGGACTTCGATTGAATGGACATAATTCAATTTCTTAAGGGTAAGATACTTTTTAAATTATGAATTTATTTTTTTTCTTTGTTTTTTTTATCACATCATCGACTATATTTTTTTTATTTATATATATATTTTTTGCCAATTTACACTTAAAGTGGATATCAATATATATTTATTCTTTAATAATTGTAAATATAATATATTTAACCTTAATCTTTTAATTTTTTTTATCAATTTTATCTTTATATATTTTTAATTAGAAAAACTGTTAAAATTTATAGAAATTAACAAGTATGCTGATAGATTAGCTCCCATTAGAATTTGAGTATAGTTTTATTTTTTGAGTTTTTAGCCTCTTCGTTAATAAAAAAAAAATCTTAAAATAACTGTTTTTTACGCTTTCAAATGGGTTTTCATTAAAAAAATATAGTTAAACTTCACCTTCTTTTTCACTTTCTTTCACACATTTGATTTGATTTGATTTGATTTTACAAACTCTGTAACAAAACAACTTTTTTGAATCATTTTGAGGAAGTGATTTGTTTGTATAATCCATAAAATTATCAAATCAATTAAATTATAATATAAGTATTTTTTTTCTTATTTTGTTTCTGAAAAAAGAATAACTCTTCATATTCGCAACTCCATAACCTAAATTGGATAATTTTCAAATAACTCAAAGTAAATCAAAGATACATTGATTTTAATTAAGTTTTAAAAGCTATCGAAATGAAAAATAATTGCCTATGTCACATAAAACGACTATTTTGACCATATTTCAACTTTAGCTTGAATGGTTCAGATTTTAATCTAGGAATAATTTAAACGAATCCATCGCTTTATCAATTAAACAAAGAAAAACAGGTAAAATAAAATAAAATTGAATGAACACGAACTACGACTACTCTTAGGAGTTTTGATGCATCAACAGTGGAGACAAATATTTATAGTGTAAGTTTAATTTTTATAATGTATACAATATTTAAACTTAATTTATTTATTTAAATAAGTTAAATTTAAAGTTTATATTTATTTTATCAGAAAAAAATTAAAACTATTAACATGTTTGACTTATTTATGTTTTTGTTGCTTTAAATGTTAACACTAATTTTAAGTATTTTATAGAAATAATAAATGATTTAGATTTTATTTATTATATTTTTAATATAATAAATCTTTATAAAAATTACTGATTTTTTAAATTTAAAATCAATATTAAATACTAATGTTAACAAAAATATTTTATTTACCAAACATATTATTGAATCTTAAAGTATTTTAAAAAATTTTAACTTAATATTTATTATATTTTTTATCTTATAAAAAGATAAAATATTGAACAGAAATAAATTAATAAAATATTTATACATAAAAATTATGTAATAATATTATTTTATAAAAAAAAATACAATAAAATATACACAAAATGTTCATAAATCTTCAATGTCAATTTTATAAAACTTAGGTTTGACTCATTTACATTGCTAAATCTAAATTTGAACGTGTTAATTAAATATTTAACAATTAAACTTAAATAGTTTAGTTAATCTTATTTTTTAATTAAAATTAAAGTTTTAGTTTTTAATCTAAGTTATTAAAATAAAACTTTAATTTTAATTAAGAATTGTAAAAACTTGAAATACTTCTTCTAACTTTTATCATTTGCAAACAACTCATCACGTTTGGGAAGATGGCATGGATAATTGATAATTGAAATTATACACGCAAATGCAAGAGTGCTGATATCTTATCCCTTTATCTATTATTTAAGATATTTCACATCAACTATACCGTACGCTAAAATGTAATTAAAGTTAAAAGTTGTAACGTTTTATACAAAGCACAGAAAACCCTTGTTTGAGAAAAAGAAATATTAATTTCAGTCCACATACCTAAATGAGTTTGAGTATTTAATAATAGTTAAAAAAATATAATAATAATATATTTATTAAAATAAATTTTATTTATTACATTAAAGATATAAAAGCAATATTTTTTTTATTTTTTAGTAAAAAATATTATTATTAAATATTTAAACACAAGTTTAAAAGATCATATTAACAAAATTATAATTAAAAGTACATTGTAAAAGATTTCTCATGTATTTTACTCAATAAAAAACGTGTAAATGGTTAATGAAAAGGTTAAGTGAAAAATAAACAATATATATTTTAAACAAGTGTAAAAATTAAGTATGACAATTTTAAATATTTTTAATTGAATACATACAAAGTACTGAAAACATGCAATAACAACATACATCGAACGAATTAATGACTATAAATATTCATTGAAAGCTTTAACTATTAATTTGTCTTAATTTAGGGAACGAGATTAAATACTCGGGAAATTTTGATTGCTTAAAATAATTTTATAACGTTATTATCAATTAAACAAAGTTATTATTCAAATAAAAAAAATCTTAGAACATATAAAAAATGTAAAAATTTCAATTTATACAGTTTTATTTTAAAATTCATTGACTGTAAAAATTATAAAATAATTTAACTAAAATATATTGCTACCGTGAAAAGTATAATATTGCTTGCATAAACTTCTACATATAACATATGGGTTATTTACAAATTTTAACATTTGATTTTAGAGTTTATTATTGAATATATAAAAAGAATTATTTTATGTGATATAGTAATTGTTTATCTATATAGGTTATTTACAAATTTTAACATTTGATTTTAGAGTTTATTATTGAATACATAAAAAGAATTATTTTATGTGATATAGTAATTATTTATGTTAGGGATACACTAGTCTTTTTGATAATCTCTTCTCTTATCTTTTAATGTGACATTTCTATAGAATATTTTAAATTTTTTTATGTTATAACGTGAAAAAAATACTTACAAAAATAGTCTGATAATAAAATTAATATTTGATGTAAAAAAATAAATACTATTTATATATTTAAAAATTAATCTTTTAATTGTATCTCTTACTTTTTTTTAATAAATAAATTATTATACTAATAAGTTTCATGATTTAATTCTATCTTTGCTCTTAAGATTATTTAGATAATTAAATTTTTTAATAATTATTTAATTTAATTTTTAATTATTTTATTAATTTATTTTAATATAATTAGAAGGATGTTCATACTTAAGTTAGGCCAAACAGTTATTTAATTTTTTTTATTATAATAATTGAGAAGTATTTTATCCCATACAGAAATACTTTAATTCCATCACATCACACGTATGTATCATGACGTGCGCAACTATTAATTTTATGAAGATTTGGAAAGAGTACATATACTCATATTCACTTGCACTGTTCCACGTACTCAACCTAATATTCATGACAATTTTATTTAGTCAAATTATAGCGAGTACATCCTTGTTCTCTGTATACACACTCACGTAATAAAGATAGATATTCGACAGAACATTGATTAAACTATATTATTAATATTTGTAAAATAATTTTTTTAATTTTTTAATTAATTAATTTTTATATATAATTTATTTTACAAATTTTTAAACAAAAATATTTTTAAGAGTTTAATCTCTTTTTATTATAAAAAAAACTTAGAAAAAATTTAATCATATTTTTTATTATGTCAAACATTTTTTACACAAGTATTTATTTATTTAATTATTATTCATTTTAATTCTGAATTTTATTATAACTTGCTTTTTAATTCAAAATTTATTCCTTTTATTTATTTATTTGATTCAACAACATATTTATATATAGTTTATGTGTACAATTTTTTAAATAAGTGTGCTTTAAAGAATTAATTCTTTCACTATACAAATATTTTTTACATTTAAATCTTTTTAATTGGATATAGTAAAATATTTATTATTAATAATTATAATGTTTTTTAGATTCATAAAATTTAAAATAATAATATAATATATTTAAAGTAATTATTTCAAAATTTAATTTTAATACATTAATATTTATCCCGTGCATGAAAATATTATTAATGCTCTTAAAATAGCACTTAGCATTTGGCAAAAAGAAAAAGAGGTGCGAGAGATACTGTGGTGTGTGGACTATGGTGGGGACCGCATGGATATCGGGGGTTGGCAAAGTCGATGTGGGACCTCGTTCCTTTCCAATGGAGTAGTGGGTCCCACAACGAGTGCTTGGAGGTTCTGTTTTTTAACTATAAATCCAAGGCAGGGGACTCTGTCTCCTCCCTCACAAGTAACTCTCTAACTCACTCTTCACTTTCTCTTCCATTTCTTTCTATGCTCTCCACAGAATAATTAAAATCAAACAACACTACAGTTGAAGTTAGTTAGTTACTTCCTCTCAAACGTAAGCTACCATCTCAAACTTGGTTCTAATAATAAAAATAAAATTAACAGCTTTATGAAAACATGCATGAGTTGGGTTTGTTTTTGCAGTGAAAAATGACTCAGCAAAATGTGGTAGTGTCTGACCCCAAATCCGGAGTTTCCTTATCAGTTTTCACAACACCACCACAAAAGCCACCGGCTGCACCAGGAGGGTACATTTCCATTTCTAGAAGGAGGGTTTTGAAGAACCTTGAAATCAATGGAGGACAAAGAATCAATGCATGGGTTGAGTCCATGAGAGCCTCTTCTCCAACCCATCTTAAATCCACTCCTTCTCTCTCTCAAGAACATACCTCTTGGACTGTAAGAACCACTTACACACTCTTTTATTTTACATGTCACAACCACTCCTAATAGTCGATCTCACTTTGCTATATGTGTCGATAATCAAACAGCTTCACCATCCCTCGGCATTAGACATGTTTGACCAAATCATTGACGCGTCAAAGGGTAAACAAATTGTCATGTTTCTTGACTATGATGGCACGTTGTCCCCTATAGTTGACGACCCTGACCGTGCTTTCATGTCCGATTCGGTTAGTTTCTTTCCTTCCAATGCTTTTCAACATGTTGTTGGCTACTAAATCCATGACTATTTGTCTTGCATCAGATGAGAAAAACAGTGAGAAAACTTGCAAGGTGTTTTCCTACTGCTATAGTAACTGGCAGATGCAAAGACAAGGTGGTTATTCAATTCTTTTGTGTTAATATCCATTCCATAATCTTGATACTCTTTTTTTTTTGTACTAAATTGATGGTTGCTTTGGAAACAATAGGTGTACAATTTTGTTCGTTTGGCAGAACTATATTATGCTGGAAGTCATGGCATGGATATTAAAGGGCCAACAAGAAGTTCCAAATACAACAGAGTGAGTTAGTGGCTGTAGTGTACGCACTATTTAGTGTATAAGGTTTATATATTCCCAAGTTTTTCAAATGTTATGAAAACTCACGATTTTGCATTGGTTAGGATACCAAAGCTGAGACTGTTCTATTTCAAGCTGCCAGTGATTTTCTTCCCATGATAGATGAGGTTCGTTTATTAATTTTCTCTCTTCATGGCTAGCTAGAAAAATGGTTTTTTTTGTTTCTAGAATGTTCAAAAATGATTTTGTATTTTTGTTGGGTACAAAATTTTAGGTGTACCAACAATTGGTTGATAAGACAAAATCAACTCCTGGAGCTATGGTTGAGAACAACAAGTTCTGCCTCTCTGTTCATTTCCGTCGTGTGGATGAAAAGGTACGAAAAATTTAAACTATAAAGCCACTCATATTTGAGACATTCGCTTGTAACTAACTAGTTGTAATGTTTTTGTGCCTGCCTGAAATTCTTTCAAGTATCATAGACTATTGCTATGTTCATGAAAAAGTCTAACTCAAATGCACTATACATAGAAATGGAGTGAATTGGCACGCCAAGTGAAATCAGTTTTAAAGGACTACCCGAAGCTTCGTCTTACCCAAGGAAGAAAGGTGGGCCATGTTTCTGTTTTCTTGTTTTTTATCTAATTTTTTATGGGACGTTTGATTTTGTTTGAAAGGAGGTTTAGTAAGTGAGAGATGTCTCATTTTCAATGTCGTTTGTTTTACACAGGTGCTAGAGATTCGTCCCACTATTAAATGGGACAAAGGGAAAGCCCTGGAATTTTTGTTAGAGTCCCTTGGTGAGTTTTAGTCTAACACACTATGTTTTATTGTCACAATTTAAAAACATGCATTATTAATGGCACCAAGTTACGTATAAGACTCTTCTCTTCAATTGTTGTAACACTTCGGAGTTTTGACCATTAATTAAGGGAAAACTCCCACACCCTACGTGATTAATTTACTCATTGAACATGGTTTTATACACATGAGATTCTGAATTTATATTCAATTTGTTTTAAATTGTCCACCAGTATCTTAATTGCGAATAATTTTAAACAGGATTGGCCAATTGTAGTGATGTCTTTCCTGTTTATATTGGCGATGATCGATCCGATGAAGATGCTTTCAAGGTATCCTAAGATGTCAATTATTATTATTATTTTCTTTATAGAAAGTCCTCAAATAAAAATCCAGCTCTTTCAATTTAGACGCTAGTCAGATGTGTAAGTTAATTATCTAATTCGGGACAATTCAATTCTTTTTATGAGCAGAAATTAAGAGACAGAGGACAAGGTTTTGGCATTCTTGTCTCCAAATTTCCAAAAGACACAAGTGCATCTTACTCGTTACAAGAACCCAACGAGGCAAGTAGAATATTTTTTAACTTCATCTATTTTTGCACCATTATATCCAATGCCCAAAATAGAACTAACTATTATTTATTTATTTCATGCAGGTGATGAACTTTCTTCAACGCTTGGTGGAGTGGAAACATGTGTCCCTGAGAGCACGTTCCCGGGTGTAAATGAGTAGAGATGAAATGACATGTACATCCCTACCCTGCCATAAAAATGAAGTTCAGCTTGGGTATAGAATATAGGACGTTTTGTATTTTTTGTTCAAGTCAGAAGAAAGAACAAAAATGTATGGAAAAAGTAAGACAAAAGTGTCTTTCTTAGTTTGAAAGACGTCTACATTCATGTAATTAGCAAGGTAGTTCGTAGTACATGGGAAAAGTTTATGTAGCCCTCAGATGCAAGTCTGAATTAATCGATTAAATCTTCTCTTCCTTGTTACATGTAGTATCATTATGTATAGTTTCTCAATCATGATTTAGTTATTTCCCTTTATTTTTAGCTCCAAGAAATTAGTCATGAAACAAAATAATGTAAAAGAATCGAAAATTGAGAATACCATGGTAGGCATAAATTTTTTTTTTCAACGAATCCTAGATCATGTCATTTTAACTATTCACGTTGTAAGTATTTTTTTTTTTAATAAATTATAAAATTTATAACATGATTGGTTTTGGACCATGTAAAAGTTTCCCTGTTGGCACCGTTTGTTCTGCAAAACAGTCCATGGAAAAAGAAACGGGCTATAGATTATGACACCATGAATAAGCTTATGAAGTGATAGTCTGTTCACCTTTGGAGCACGAAATGAAAGGGGTAAGGTCGTTTCACATCAATCATATCTACTGCTTTAATAAAACAAAATAAAAATAAAAGATGGGTGTGAGCGCATGGCACAATTGGAGCATATCTTTCTCGATCAATCTCAATTATTGGTTTCCTTCACTGCAAGGATATTTTTTATGTCTTGGTTAGACTTAGACCAATAGTATTGGACAAGGCAAGAGAATTAATTCAATTTTGAGTCTCTCATACGGATAAATAAATTTAATTAATATGGTAATTTAACTAAAGTGTTAACTTGCTTCATTATAGGCTCCAATTCACAATCTTGTCATTAATAAAAGCCAGCCAATCTCTACAATCATCCACAACATGTTGTCTGAAGACACACGTGCTTAATTAACCAAAACTTACATGCAATATATGTATATATAACTGGATAAACAGATTTCCCAGATCAATAAGATACCCTTATCACGATTAATGATTATTGATTGAATACTTGGAGACTCAAGTATCAAGAAATGGCCCCTTGTCAACAACCGTTACAAGATTTCTATATCATGTATCTGAAGCTGACTCAAAAGTTGTAGTTGTGGGTTAGGCCGTGTTGGTGCTAAAAGAACTAACACTCTGTCATAATTGAACGTTTGAATCGATGTTTCTCTGGTCGTACCCAGATTAAACAATCTCATGTCTTTCATTCTGTCACGCAGTACTGACATTTCTTCTAATGCTTCTTTGAGTTCTGGAAACAGCATCATAGATTCATGTACTGCAAACTGCAAACGTAAGAGTTATTATGTATGAGGTGTTTGATTCTAGACCAGTATTTGGTAAAGTAAGAGAATATTTAATTCGTGGTTTAGAAAGTTTGGTTGGATTTGGTAGTTACACCAATAAATTTAAGTCTTCGTTTGATTCTGTGTCAATAATCTTTCACTGTTATGCAATGTGATCAAATAGGTTTTTAGGAAGGAAAATGACTCATGAGATCGTGTACATTTAGTGAGAGAGAAAAATAATAAATATAATAAGTGATGTAATATAATATAATGAATTATTTAAGGACGCCATTTAACAATAGCCCAATTGCCTAGATAATTAAGTTATTAATTTTTAAATCACATGCAGCTTGGCGATAAATTCGGAAACAAAGCTTCGTGTCCCATGTATGAAAAAAGGGCTTCATTTTACAAATTGATAACTGGTACCGATGCTCAGTCTTTTCTGAAGGAAAGGGAAGAAAGGTTTGGTATAATTCCATTATACTTTGGTGTCCCACTTTCTTATGAACCAAATGCCGGCTTTGTTTAGGTAGAAATGTGAGTCGGCACCATATATAATAAGACATTGCCGCTACTATTATAAAAGATTCAAGTAATCACAAATCATGTGAATTGACCACTGATATTATACACATGCAAAAAAATGTGCTCGTGTAAAGTGCTAAACAAGAAATATTGCCAAAATCTACCTCATAATGTAATGAGACTTAGATTATAGCTTAGATTTTGTATGTTATGTAGAAAGCAAAGTTGGCAAAAGAAGAAAGAAGAGAGAAAAACAAGGCCACTACTCATTGGGTGCTTAAGTTTGAAGCAACCCACCTCAGGTTGATAGAGAATCGGCTAAAATGAGATGGGGCAAGGAAAAAGCGGAAGGTTAATAATCATTTGGTTAGGTTAATGAAAGTGAAACTCAACATCGGGTTAGGGAATCCATATGGTTGAAAGAAGAGTTGGAATCCACTCAAAAGTAGATGTTTGATGGGAAGAATAACATAGATATTTGAAGTAGAGACACTAACATTGCTCCATCTATTGACAACCCTTACCTTGTGTCAGACGTGGAAAGATGGTCTCCACTAGATTTCTCTCTATGATTGATGTCTTAGCTGAATTAAACTAAGTTTTTGTAACTTTCAATTATTGGCGAGTAGGAAAAGTAGAACACCATTTCTCCACCAATTATCTTTTTCTTTTTTTGTTCAACAATTTTTTTTTGACATACCCAACAAATTATTTTATATTGAAAAAAGTTTTTTCAAGAAAAATGTTTCGTTTTGAAGTCAATGCCTATTAACAGTAATAATTATTGAAAATTTCTTAGTGAAAGACCCTCAACTAAATTCAAATATAAAATACTATAATAATTAATAGTATAATGTAATCTTAAAAGTTGAGCTACCTGGTTCACGGTGTCATGCATTATAAAAGCTCATTTATAAATCGCTTTTAGTACTCACCATAAACCAACCTTGTCATTGAGAAACGTAGGGATTAATATTAATATATTAGCGATGTTTTAATTAGAATAACAACTAAACATATCACACTCCTCTAAATAATTGTTTCTGGATCCTTTTTACAGTTAAGACACATTTATTTAATTTTTTTTATTTAAATTAATGGTATTCTCTTCAGCAAATAAATTTACAGGAGCTGAATAAAGTTATTATAAAAAATAAAGCTTTAGTTTTAAATATTTAATGGCAGTTTATATACAAAATTCAAACACAAAGTTATTGATTAAACTAAAACAATCCTATATTAATCAATTCTTATTAATGAGTTTTATTAAAAAATATAATTTGAATATAGAATTTATAGATATAAGTTAAGACACCATTTAAAAAAGGTCATATACTACTTTGATAGACTCATATAAGCTCTTTTAATAACATTATTTTTTGTAGTCTAAAACCACTTATATCTAGATTTTGAGACTCATAATTAAGTTTAAACAATCCTTTGCCAACTCATTTTCATGAGCTTAATTAATGCCTTTCAAAACCCCTTTAAAAATGCATAATATGCAGTGTATAATTAAATTTGAAGAATATTGATAAGTATTATAATTAAACTTAAAAAATATTAATAAATATTTTAAAAATATTAGTTAAAATTTAACATTAAAATTCATTAATATATTATGCTGTAATTTTTAATAATTAATTAACTAATAAACTTAAAATACACATTAACAAAATTATTAAACTTGTATTGTAGATTAAGGTGTGTTAATTTTGATAGTATAAACATAAACTTTATTAAAAATATTTATTATACTTTTGATTAATTTTATAAATACTTTTTCAATAAAAATATTATATTTTAATTATTTAAAAATAATCTTAAAAACTGACATTAATATTGTTTTTATAAATATTATGAAATGAATATAATAGCACTCTACCCTATTTTAAATATACTACAAAGGTTAGGACAAATTATTGAGAATATAATAAAACTTTCATGGAGAATTGGAACCGCTTACTTTTCTCTTGCCACTGGCATTGACATTTGAGTTCTCAGAAGCTGAGCTGGTTAGCAATGGTCCTTGAATACACGTGTTTGGTTCTTACTATGAGAAAATGAAAATGTTCAGTATCACCTGTGTTGGTTAATTTGGGGAATCGGTCCCCGCTTTGAGGGTCGAGCCCACAAATGGCTGCGAAATGCCCATGGTTTTGGTCATTTTCCACCAAATAGCATACTATTTATTATATGTACCCAGAAAAAACAACAGCATTATTGTATCTGTGTAGTTCTTGTGAAAAAATAAAAATCATAATATTGTATACTATACCAGTAATATTTAAACTTGTTTTAAAACCGTGTTAGCATGTGTAAAACACTTGGACACATAACAATTTTTAAAACTTGAGAATAGGCTTAGTTAAGCGCTTCACTGGTTGTGTTTGGCTAGGTCTAAATTCCTGTCACATGGGTCTCCATGTGATCCTTTGATACCCTTGTAATGGGGAACAACAATGACGCTATAATGGGTAACTGGTTATAATAACCACTGTTGCAGTACCTGAAAGGCTTGATACCGAGTGCAACTACACAATCAGAGTTTAAAATGTGTTTGTGGCTGATTGGTGGCGATCTATTGTACAGTATCACGTGCATTGAAGCAATTATTTTCCCACTCTAGTTACTTGTCATACGTGTTGATAAACTACTGAATGATTGTAATGGGAATAACATATAAAAGCAGCTACTTCTCAACCTTGGGGGGGAATGGTTAGGGAAATGGATTTCATATGAGAAAAAAAAAAGCATTTATGCAAATACTAATATGAGGGTCGAATGTGAATGCCAACAAGAAGTATTTGTTGAATGCAACTTGTACGGGGAACACAGCCATATTCGGAACTAATTACAATGTAAGTAGCATAAAGTTCATAAATCAGTGAGATGGAGAATAAAGCATTAAACATGACTTGTGTAGTCTTTATGTGATTGATAAAATTCATAGTTAGGTGGAGAAAGAATTTGGCTAAAAAACGAATCTTTTTAATTATGGTCAATATTGGAACAAAGCACACACATACTATCAATAAACACATCCAACAACCGAAACCGACACGAATGAACCCAAAAAGAGGATTACACAAAAATCCCAGAGAAAAGGAATAAAACAATGTTTCCTGTTACAATGGCTGCTTCCACTAACCATTAAGAGAAAAAGAGAGAGGTTTTCCAACTAAACCATGTGCAATTGTGCATGTTCTAGTGCAATCACAAAAAGTAGGAGGCCCCTTTCCTAATAAGAAAGCATGCATACATGTGTATCTTAAAGTTTCAATCAGTCCA